TGCTTGTAACTGAACCTGGGTCCCTTGCAAGAGCAGCCAATGCTTTTAACCACTGAGTGATCTCTTCAGCTGCAGACTGATCTTGAACTTATAGAGCACTGCCTGCTCCTGCCTCTGCCTCCCGAGTACTGGGATTAAAGTGTATACCACCTCACCCTGCCTTTCAACTTAATTTTTTGAGACAGAATTACAAATCTGGACTCACTGAATCTGGACTCACCGAATCTGGACTCACCAGTTCCACTAGCCTGGCCAGTGAGCTCTGGGGATCTGCTTGTTTCTCTGTCTCTCAGCACTGGTATTACAGATGTGTGCTACCACACCCAGCTTTTACATGAATGCTGGAGATCCAAACTCAGGTCCACCTGCATACATGACAAATACTTTACCTACCGAGCTATTGCCACAGCCTATTTTTGTGTGTTGTGTTTGTTGTGTTTTGTTTTGTTTTGTTTTGCTTTGTGACAGGGTCTCCTCATATCCCCAGCTGGTCTAGAATTCCCCATACAGACCAGACTGATCTTGATCTGACAGAGATTGCTTGCCTCTGCCTCCCAAGTGTTGGGATTAAAAGTGTACACCATTTTTTGTTTTGTTTTAATTTGTATTTATTTTTATTTATGTGTCTTTTGAGTGTCCTGCCTGCATGTATATAAGTGTACCCAGGTCAGGCAATGCCGATAGTGGCCAGAAGAGGGTATGAGATCCCCTGGAACTGGAGTTACAGATGGTTGTGAGCCACCATGTGGGTGCTGGGAACTGAACCCTCGTACTCTACAAAAACAGCCAGTGCTTTTAACCTCTAAGCCATTTCTTTAGCCACCTGTCTTTGTTTTTTGAGGTAGGGTCTTGATCTATAGTTCCACTGGCCATTAACTTTTTTAAAAAGCTTTTTTTTTTTTTTTTAAGATTTATCTTTAATTATGTGTATCTGTGTGGTTATGTGGTATGACTGTGGTGCCTGTGTGTCCTCTGCAAGAACAGTATGTACTCTTAACCAACTGAGTCATCTCTCTAGCCCCTGGCCCTCAAATTTTGATTCTTTTACACTGATCTCTGGGGTGCTAGAATTACAAGTGTGCACAACCATGCCTAGTTTGTGATTTTTAATTTAAGTAGTCTTTTTTCCAAAATATTAAAATTTTATTAGTACTTCCCTTTTTAAACTACACATGCTTTTTCTACCCATTACTCAAATTACAAATGTTTCTGAAAAACATAGAAGCCTGTAGAAGCCTGGCTTTTGTTCCTTAGGCCTATAAACCATGTTATGAAGATCATCTGTTGTTTCTTCCATAATTTTTTAAAATGTCTTTGTAATATTACCTCACAGGCAGGTTATAAGAAAAAATTATGGAAAAAGTCGACTGCAAGAAAGAAGAGCTTGAGAGAATTTGTGTTCTGCAATAAGACCCAGAGTAAACTCTTAGACAAAATGACAACATCTTTCTGGAAGAGGCGAAACTGGTATGCTGATGATCCTTATCAGAAGTATCATGATCGAACCAACCTGAAAGTATAGTTCAGAACTGTGATAGATTCCCACCTATCAAATGTGGATCTTTCTGCACATAATATCCTTGCAAAAATGATTAAATATTAAACATGGTATAAATTATACTGACTGATAGATAAACATATAATGCCAACATTGTACTTGTGAATGTTTTAAAACTTAATGGATTAAACATTCCTAGAGTTGATTGGAGACCCCAAAGCTAAAAATTGTCCATTATTCTTAACAATGGTAAGGGCTTCTCTCATTCCCTCTAGGCTTATTTAGATGCAAAGAATCTCAAGTGATGTAAAGTCTCTCAAGCAGTGTGACTTTTTGTGGGGGCTAGTGGGATGGGGTGAAATTGTACCCTAGTCCTTGCACATCCTAAACAGACATTCTACCACTGAGCTATACTCTTTTTTTTTTTTTTTTTTTTTGGTCTTTTTGAGACCGGGTCTTCCCTGTAGCCCTGACCTGGAACTCACTGTGTAAACCAGGCTGGCCTGAATTCACAGAGGTCCACCTGCCTCTGCCTCCCGAGTGCTGGGATTAAAGGCATGTGCCACTATGCCTGGCTATTAAACTATACTCTTATTCCCAGCATGACATAGGGCTTATTTTAAGGGTAAGTACCTTGGAATTCAGGAACCACAGTTTGATCTCCTACCTAGAATCCTCCAACCCTATGCTGTGGGAAGGGCATAAGTTGGATGGTGCTTCTCAATAGGAGATGGTGGCTCTTCATGCTCCTGCTCTACTATGTGTGTGACTCTCTACCTGCCAATCTCTTTAATTTTAGCTTTTACTTATGTAAAGTTGAAAATCTCTCAGTAACTTCAGCTTGAACCTTGAGGTTCTTATCACAACCTTCAGCTCCTATCATCTCCTGTCTCTGATTGCCAAGAGATCTAAGTGGGCCAGCTTACCATTTTATCCTGGGTCTCACTGGTGTCACCAAGCAGTATAGGGCTTGCCTGTTCTTGAGTCAGGAGCCCACCCTGACCCTCTTAGTTATGTTATCAGGTTCATGTGGAGCCAAAGCATAGTTGTACAAGCTGTTTTGCTTAGCGGTGGCACGTTGTGGCACTTATATCCAGTGTCCTGGGTTCTTTGTGTTCATTACAGTTCACATTTTATTGGAACAAGAGTTTTTTCATAGAGGAGTAAGAAATCCCCTTTCAGCATGTCCTTCATGAAACACAATGCTATACAACAAAAATTTTCTACTCAGCTGTTCAAAGGCACTGTATTTTTATTATTTAATTTTTATTTTATGTGTATGAGTTTTTTGCCTGCATGTATATGTGTACCACAAACATGCAGTACCCACAGAGGCCAGAAGAGGGCATTGGATCCCCTGGAACTGGAGTTAATGAACAGTTGTTAGCCACCATGTGGGTGCTGGGAACCAAATCCAGGGCCTCTGCAAGAGCTCTTAATTGCTGAACCATCTCTCCAGCCAGGCACTGCATTGTTTTTTAAAAGTCAGTTTATCCAGTTGATATTTCATATTTTCATTTGTAAGGATAAGCTGATAAGCTTTTTTTAAAATTCTCTAAAAATGCATTGCAGAAACTGAAGAGTACTCTCAGCCATTTTAGAAACGACACGAGTGTTTGCTTGAAGAGGGACAGGTGATGGCTGCCATCCAGGACTGGCTCTCAGCTTTCCCATCAGAGTTATCTGGAAGCATTTTCAAACAAAGCAGTTTGCCTGGTTGAAAAACATTATTAAATAGAATTATAAATGAATTACAGTTTGAAAACCTTTGATACTATAGTTGATAATAACATGAAGTTTCTCCATTTCACAGAGTAAGATAATCAAATTGAAGTCCTGTGCCTAGGAATATGAGTGATCCATTGAACCAGCGTTTGTGTTCATTAAAGGGAGATAGGGAAACAGTAGACTGTCCTAAAGCCAGAAGACCAAGTATGTATTTATGGGTCCAGGTAATAGAGAAGAGACATTTGATTTGAGCACCTCATACATGAAATGGCCTCTAAAGCTAAGCACTGCCAGGCTTTTGCATCTCCTACGTGTCTGGCTTCTGCCTCCAGTGCATCTCTGGAGTGGGAGGGGCTGCTACCACAGAAACTGAGGAGGAAGACGCGCTCCACATCCTCCGTAGCTTCTCTAGAGTAAGTGTCGATGTTAGAGTTCCTATTATCAAGACCCAGCACTTTGGCTTCTTCAGTGGCCAGGGACAGGATAGAGAGAAGGCCCAGCAGCCACAGGTGAAGGGCTGGCAGGCACACTGTTATGGAAAAGGGAATTTCATGCATGGAATTTTGTTTTGTGGATAGGACTTTTCATTTGTACCAGCCTTACAAAGAAGCTCTCATTTATCCCTGATGTAAGTTTGAGGAAGCTTAAGGAGACTTAAATTACTCCAAAGTACAGCTGATGAGTCCTAGAACCCATCTGACTTCCTGGGGTCCTGGTTTCCTTTGGTCTTTTAAGAACAGTAAATGAACCAATAGATGAATGAACCAGTAAATGAACAAATGACTGTAACCTAACACCAGGTATTAAATACTCCATAGCACTATCTATTCAAAAACCTTTTAAACTGTGTAGCTTTGCTTTCTACCTGTCAACTCTTAATCTGGTAATCTCAGTTCTGGCTCAGTAAATGAATAAAAGCAGGGTTTCCAGTCTTCCATCTCTTCTTCCTGTTTTCTGTTATATGAATCTGCTTCTTTTCCTGCTGTTGCTTTATTTTATAGCCCCTGTGTCAAATAGACAATATAGGACTACATAAGCAAAGAAATGGTTAATTCTGATGCAGTAAGTCTTTGTGACCTCTCAGTGAAGCTTCAGTATGCTTGCTCATATTTTATTGTTTATGTGCTTATTTGTTTTGATTTTGAGACAGAATTTATGTACCCAAGGCTGGCCTCAAACTCACTGTGTAACTGAGGATGGCCTTGACCCTCTGATTCTCCTGTCTCTACCTTCTGAGTACTGGGATAACAGGCATGACCATGCCCAGTTTATGTGGTCCTGGGGATGGAACCCAGGATTCGTGCATTCTAGGCAAGTGCTCTTCCAACTGAGCAACAGCGCCAGCCCCTGCTGTTCCATTTTAAAGGCAGGAGCTGCTGAGGGTTAAGGGCATCATTATCATACACAGTGGCCTGTGTAGGTACCTGCCTGTTCTGACCTGCATAAGCTGTCCCCCATCTGCAGTGATGAAATACTCAAGAAGGAAAATGGCTACCAAGAGGTCTACATGCAAAACTAGAACTTCCTGCCAGTAAAGTGTGAAAACTATGTTTTCACAGGTACCCAGTTTCTACTGATCTGTATAACAGTGACACTCTCAGGCTTATATTTGTATGATCAGCTGGTTTTTCAAAGCATATCATTGAATTTGTTTTCCTCCCAATACTATACAATAGGCCTGGGGCCAAGTCTCCAGACCAAGTAGAGGTTAAGCACTCAGCTTCTAATTATTTATTTGTTTATTTATTTAGACTGCGTCTCTGTCCCAGGCTGGCCTGAACTTAATGAATACTTGAAGATCCCTTTGAACTTGTGATCCTCCTGCTTCTACCTCCTGAGGCTGGTGTGTCCTACCTTTATAGGTGTGTCCTACCTTTACATGGTGCTAAGGATCAAACCCTTCCTGTATGTTAGGCAAGTACTCTACCAAAATGTGTTTTTATATTGTATTTTTAAATTTTGTGTGTGGAGGCAGTGTGTGCCACACTATGCATATGCACGTCAGAGGACAACCTGCTAGAGTGGGTTCTCTCCTTCCACCATGTGGGTCCCAGGGGTCAAACTCAGGTCATCAGGTTTGGTGGCAAATGCCTGTACTCTTTAAGCCATGTCAGTGGCCCATTCCACATTTTTTTAAAAGTATTTTCCTCTTTCCTCATAAGCCCAGTATTATAAAAACATTTTTTTTTTTTAAAGAAAAATGGTAAGACTTTATTCAAGATGTTTATCAGGCATTTTAACAAAACAGCAGAACTTCAGCCTTTGGAATACTGTAGTTTTACATCCTTTTGATACACAGTCCAGTATACTATTTAGTTATAGCTCATTCTGGAGAGACTTTGGAAATACACTAGAGGGACGTGTGCACAGTCACAATCCAGAACACCAGCTCTTCGAGTGTGCGCTGTTAGAGGATGAAGCACATCTTTAGCCACCTCAAATACTGTGCAAGGTGAAGAACTAGGAAGGCTGGATGCTGGTCATGGTTGACACGCACTCTTAACACGAACACATGGACAGTTTGCTACGGTTTACACACATCAGGCTGGCAAAGTGAGCAAGCTATTCACACAAAGCCAAGAGAGATTATGACTAAATTTCCAGTTGATAAGCATGAGACCACATCTCACCTCTTCAGAAATGGGCTGCCTGCTCAATGGTAGGTAACTAAAGATTGTGACAAGTACAGACTTTCCAGCTAGCAATTTGTAAACAGCCTGCATCTGTAAGCAATTTAAAAACATTCATTTATCTTCTCCAGACAGAATATCACACTGCCACATGTACAGTGATAGGCATTCACATTTTATGTCAGTCCATACACAAATATACAGCTTGTCAGATAAGTAAACACATTTTGCGAGAAATAGGAAAGCTGCGCTCAGTTGTACAGTGAGTGTCTTTAGGAGAGAAAACAATTCCCTAGTCAACACCTGAAGGAAAAAGAGTTACGTCTACATTAAGACAACAGCTTAGATACCTTTATATTTTAAATCTTGAACGAGAAGTAATATAGCATGTCTCAGGGCATTCCAAACTGATTTTTGGCATAGTTGAGTATGAACTTGATAGTCTAGACTTATAATAATTTCTCATAAAATGGTGAAAATATACTGCAATTTTAAACTGCTACTAAAGGCATTATTTTGGACAAAAAACAACAAATCCGCTAAAAAGCTACATATCTTAAGCTGTTTTGCACGTCTTTCTGTTAATTCTGGATATACCTGATGAACAGGTACAGTTTTAAAGAGTACATTTTTCCTGTCTGGACCTATTTGGTGAGCTTGAGGAAAAAGTTTTTTTTTTTTTTCTCTTCCCTAACAGGTTCTGGTACTGGTGGGTATGCAGCTATCAGTCTGCTTTTAGGTTTAGTTCCCTAAATCTTAGAAATTACAAAATCACCTTCGGAGAATTTCATTAGCTACATCTGGCAGCAATGAACTTCAACTAAAATGGTTGTGAAGTGGCCAAGATCCAGCTAGTGTCATTGGCAAAGGCCACCAGTGCATGTTGGCCTAGCTCAGTGACAGAGCAGTCTGAAATCAGCTGACAGTTCTCTGTGGTATATACTACTACTTCTCTAGTCTTTAGAGTATAGCTACGAACAAACACAACCCAAATAAGAGTAACTGGGTTGTGATCACTGCATGCATTACACTGAAAGAAAGCACCAACTCTAAGCACAGGTAAACTAGTCCTACATTTTGGCTCAGCTCTCAGAGGGGAGGGCAGCTACCTCAGACCACAATGTTACCTTCCTTAGAGTCTTCTGAATGTTTTAATCCCCTACTAAGCAATCTTCTCTTGTATAAAACATCCCAGAAGACATGGAGAGCCACGAGTGCCAGTTCTTTCCCTTTCAGCTTCCACACAAGCCAGAGGGAGCAAGAGAACCTTAGCTGCAAGGATCTCAGTGCGGCTCACCACACGCCTCAGCCACAGACCTTCCTGGACCCACCTGTCCACCATGCAGCCATGCATGTCTCGCTCCCGAGCCTATCTGAAACAAAGTCTAGTTCTAGTTGCC